CATCAATGTAACCATTAAAATCATATCTTTCTGATCCAACACTACACCTTCCTCGACCTTCCTCAAATACCAGAAAGAGCTACATTCACAGATGACACAGCGATCTTGGCTATTGCAGAAAATGAAAAATTGCAGCTAATATTTTGCAATTAGCGTTAAATTCAATCGAAAATATAAACTTTACTTATAAGAACGTATACTATGTCAGAACACATAAATGGGAATGCAGTTCCTTACGCTGACACCGCAAAATATCTTGGTATAGCGCTAGATGCCAGATTCAAATGAAAAGCTCATGTCAAGACAAAATGTGAAGAACTTGATAATATATTAAATTTAGACAACCATATTGACTTATTGACAGAAAATCTATATTATCACTAAGAAATAAGTTGCTAACATACAAGCAAATATTAAAATCAAAATAAATATATTTATGGAATTTAACTGTGGGGTTGCTTGCGACCTTTAATTGTTTTTTTACGTGAGGTAGGTTGCTTACGTGATCTCCCAACCTGCAACCTAGAGGGCCAGAATGTTTCCGTAGCGATTTATTCTCTTAGTTAACACACACCCCTTATACGCCATGCACCAGGAGTTTACGCGACAAACGGTCCTCGAGGACGTGAGAATAGATTCGTTTGGCAGAGCTGAGCTTGATTCCTCAAACCCCTGACTTACTTATCAGGAAAAAGCAGTGGGCATATCTCAGAATTTTGAAGTAATAGCACCTTACACGGCTTACAACACCTTTTACCAATATCTGAATTCGTTGTTTGTTGGTAAAAATTTCTTCGTGCCTTTATTATGGTCCCACTGATGTTTTTATATGTTTATAAATACTAGGATTTCTTGATAATATTCTGTTTTCTTCCATTAACTGGGAATCACAAAAGAGATCTACTGTTGAGTTTCCAGCCTGGAATCTTGCCTGTTTCTCTACTTCCATATTTTTGTGCTTTAGACCTATTTTGTTGGCCAGCATCTTGCCATATACTTTATATAGCGTGCCCGTCATTTTTATGACTCTGTAATTGTCGCAGTTTTGTCTATTTTTCTTCTTATGTATGGTCTATATGAAAGTTGTGTTCCATTCTTCTGGAGTCAGATTACCGTTAACCCAATTGTGGATTAATGTCTCAAGTTATTGATATGGTTTTGTTATTCCACATTTAATAAGCTCTGCGGGGGATGTTACCAGCCCCTCGTGCTGTTGATTCTCAAGGATTTACAGATTTTCGGTACGTCCTTAATGGTGAGTTGGATTGAGAATGCAGTTATATGTATACTTTCTTAGTTCTCTTATTCCTTCACGAAGTTCAGTCTACCTTCTGTTATTCTATTATACTAGATTTATTGGTGATATCATGTCTCTTGTCTTGCCCTCTCTTAAGGATTTCTTCGCCTATATAAGTGTTTATTCTGCAAAACGCTGAAATGGCTAATAATAATAATTTTTGCCTTCGAAAGAAATTTTTGTTTGTTAGTAAAAAATATCGTCAGCTTTAACTGTTTTCGTCACTTCATTAAAATTGGTGATGATAGAAATCGCTTTTAGAACGTAAATCATTCAAAAACAATGAACGATCCATTTCCTGTACCATATAAAAATCATTTGACTTCGTTACATGGGATCCTATTCGTTTATATTCTAGCCAATCTAGCCATTTCAGTTCCAGATTGACCATTGGGTGAATTCCGTCTTTTTGTCGATTAATCCTAATTTTTCATTGTCACATGTTTTCCCGCTTCAAACCACAACCTAAGTTATCTCCTATTATAAATTTACCTAATTATCGCCTACAACTTGAAAGATGTTTTACTCATACAAAAATGAATTTAAAATGAAGATATCTAATGTGAGATCATAGCTTTGTTCGTTGGGACTGCACTACTCTGCACGACATGGCACTCGTATGACGTCATAGTGCAATGAAGTGTAAGTCAGTGCAATGTCATGTCAACTTAGTGCAGGTCAGAAAAGTGTATAAACCGTGATCGCAACGAACAGATTTTTATAAAAAAAAGTGTATATTGAAATGGACGAACAGGAGATTGTCAGCGAAATACTCCTGGAAAATGAAATCATCACAGAATGTTTTTTTAGTAACGATTCATCAATTATTATTATTATTATTATTTTATATTATTTTATATTTTTTTAAATTATTAGCGAAATATATTTTCTACACCAAACTACTAACCCTTATCAGTTCCTTCAAAAGTACTACTTAACGTATAAAGAAATCACATACTAAATTGCACCAAAATCGACAAGCAGTACTTGCAAAAAAAAGAATTTGAGGTGGTGAGGGTAGTTAACCCCAGCCACCCCTAAATGAGAAAAAACACATAATTAATATTTTTAAATGTACTATAAGTGTATTTAATGCCGCCAAAATCGACAGGGTAGTTTTTAAATTATTCCAAAAAAGTAGGGGTAGTTTTCTACTGCCTCTACTGGGATTGAATATACTGTGTTCTCTAATACAACAAATATTAATTATTATAAGGTTTTATTTCTTAATATTTAATATTAATATTAATTATTACAAAACACGTTTTCAAATATTCCGCCATTTTAGTTACACTGCACTTATTGAACTTAATCGAAAGCAGGTGCAACAAAATCTGCACTAACTTGCACCGGCTGCACTAAATTGCACTGCACCTGGCCCAACGAACAGTATGAGTGCAACTGCACTAAACTGCACTATCCCCAACGAACACACAACATCTGCACTAAACTGCATAGTGCAAGTGAGTGCAAGTAGTGCAGTCCCAACGAACAAAGCTCATAATGATAGGGAAAGTGCAATATATGTAGGAGCTAACGTCAGACGTAACGTCTGCCGTGGGTGTTTGGGAGAGGTTATTGACCGGCCGTCCGGCGGTTGCTGGTTTTGGGGTTTTTCCACCGGATGTCGTTGGTGGTCCGAGAGTTCATTGACCTATTGTCCCGGAAAACTGTTTTCCACGTGGCTGTGAGTTGTTTGTTGCGGATGCTCAGCTTGTGTTCCTTCACTGTGACGGCTATTCTTCTGTTGGTCTGTCCCACGAGCCGCAGGGAATAAATGGAATAAATTCCTAGGTTTTCCAGTTTTAGTTTGTCCTTTGGATTCCTGAGAGAAGCTCATATGGTCAGTCGTTCTTCTAATGTAGGGTAGTGTTGGATTCCTCGTGGGTTTTCGAAGTAAAACTGAAAGTCTTAACTAATTCTTTTTATTTTACTAAAATACTACAGAATCTTATAATTAATTATTAGAGGTTCTCGCTCATTTTCTTGCCTTTGTTTGGTTATTCTCTCGATTTACGATACGAATGTACATGAATTATAAATATATATAGATTAAGTTTCTTGTTTGTTGATTTAGTAGGAATATAAGCAGAGTAACGATGATTTAGAATTTATTCTGACGACTGATTTTAGAATTAAGTCAGAGACATTAAATAGGGCTACGGAACCCTGGAATTCATCCCTCGAGTGGGGATAACGGCGTCTGGCGCCTGAAGGGCGCGCGTCTTCAGCGACTTCAAGCGACCATTAAATGGCCTGAACATAGGAACGCTCTAAAAAGTGTTCTCGGGGAATTGTCCCTTTTTATGATTCTCATAACTTTGGAACATTATTGCTACTCTTATTTCCTTAACTATCGAATCTATTTCTAAAACCTTTTAAAATTGGTATTTCTTAACAACCAAACCTACTTAAGAGTCTTTAGGGTGGTCCATCGAGCGGTACAGTAATTGTCAAGAATTCTCATGCACAATTAAATTGACGCACAATTCGCGGTAACACAACAGTAGTACGACGTTGGGTCTCCTCTTCTCTTCTTGTGGGGGTTGATCCCGGGGCTTGGAGTATCGGTCGATGACTTTCTTCATTATATACCTGGAGTAGTCATTTTGGGAAACGGCCAGCGTTACCTTCGTTATTTCGTTTAATATGATATACATATTTAGTACATATTGAAGTCGTTACTGTGTTAGATTAATGACAGATTTATTGAAGTTTCTACGCACATTTACTCTAATCAAGGGTGACATTTACGGAATGCCGTACGAGAAATATTGAAGATTCTCCACGATTATCAACAGAACATTATCGATTATTTGGCAAAACGAATAATACCTTTAAGTTTCAATTTTCCCTATGTTCATCATTTTGAGAAAATCTGGAAAGCCGTCATAAACTTTAGTACTAAGTTTTATCTTGGAAGAATTTATGACAAGTCTAACCTGAAACAAAGCATTTTATGCTCCATCAGTATATCCAGAAAATTGAATCATTTGCCACCGTGCATTTTCTAATTAAACAATGTTTTTGAAGAGGTATTAAGTGTTAAAATTGATTTATCAGATGGCATTAGTACAACAAACCAAAAACTTATTTTGGATGAGAATACCTTCTCTGGTTTATTTTTCACACATTGCTCGTTTGTGGTTCGTCTTCGTATCAATATTATTAGAATCTTTTAAAAGGAAACGGACAGGGATGAAAACGCAATACAAAACTTTATCACTTTGAATTTAAGAAACATTCATGGTTACTATTAGTGATGGCATAAAGTGCAAGGCGCGTTAAGTTTGATCATATATTGCAGCAGATAATTGCTGATTTGGATATGAAAGGAAACGAAGAAGTAATTAACTGTTTAAATTTGTAGATGGCACACCCATAATATGAATATTCTATCATAGAATAAAAGCTGCGAAATACAAAGGTGTATACACCATATTTCTTTGTTAATCTTCCATACTCAAACCATGACTTATAATTTAAATTTGACTATCATTTCTATATGCTTTTTATGCTATAATCTATGTTATTAATTATAAAAATAAGCGTTTCTAAATCAAGTAATTACAATTCAAATTTTACAAACAAAAAGTATATACATATAATTTAAATTAATAAATCGCATTATTTATTATTTATTCTTCAATTGTCTTTCAAAGAGATTATTAGTTAATAAACAGAAAATTAATTTTTTGTTTAGGAAGGACAAAGAAAATCAGAAAAATCTCAACGTTCTCAATTGGACTTGTGCATAGTCGTTTTTAAGGCTCGTTCAAACTCGTCGAACATTGGGAATTTAGTGGAACATAGTAAACGACAGGTTCGGGGATTTGTTGGTTGCAATAAAATGCTTGAACCGGCCGAGTACATTGTCGTTCCTTTAGCGTTTAATCATTGGCATACAGGATTGGATGATATTAGGTCATTTCCAAGGTAAGTTTTGTTTAAAAATTTTTGTAATATAAATTTTTACTCCGACGGGGATTCAATTTTTTAGATATGTTTTGGCGATACACAGTTCAAAAAAAGTTTTAGCAGAACACATTACACCTCCTCTGTACATTTTAGCAGATTCAATAATTTCCTTAACATTAGCACGGGGACAAAGACACGAAGGTCGCGAAGGCATGACCGCTTATTATTTGACGAAAGGTTGGGCGGGATTGGTTGTGATGGTTGAGAATCGGCACGAAAACAAGTGGATACACGTCAAGTGTGACTGCCAGGAGAGTTACAACGTAGTTTCAACTCGGGGGACTCTAAAAACAGTCGATTCAGTGCCCCCGTTGAATCGTCAAGTTATTATCGTGTTGACTCAGTTGGAAGGAAGTGGAGGATTTTCAATTGCGCACCGTTTGACGCACAGATTAGCCAATTCGCACGGTTTATACGATTGGGGATCCCCTGGAGGGCGTACTTCTCATGATCCCGAACTCGATTTTCAAACCAGTGGCCTGCACAGTCCTCGATTGATTACTTAAAATATATTTCTCGATAACTTTATTATAAATAAGTTTTCGATTTATTTTCATAGACAGAATAAGTTGTTTCTTTTGTAATTCCGTTTCTTTAAAGAAAATACATTTTATCAGTTATTATTTTGGTGTTTTATTTACCTATTAAAAAACAGGTTACCTTTAATATAAATTTCAGCAATATCAGTTTTATGAGACGACGTCGAAATGACAATCCATTTGACAACATCTAAAGAGTAATCGTGCCAATTTAGAGGTTTTTTTAATGAACGTTAGCTGAGATATGGGTTTTTAAAGAGCATGGTGAAATTTGCCAAAAATACCTTAAAATCAAAATAACTCGAAAACAAAAAATATTTTTTTACCTATAATTGAAAGGTGTAATAAAAACTATAGCATTCCATTTAAAATAACGAAGTTGTGGTCTACTTCAAATATTTTAGATCGAAAGTTTAGAATGAACAACCCCTGCTACCAAAATTTCAAACCTCTACGAATAGTGGAACCTAAAAAAGTTCTAACGAACCAGTTACGTGAGACCTATATAGAAAAAGAGGTATTAAATAACTCTATTAATTATGACAAACTAATTGACGAGTTTGCAGAATTAAAAGTGTGAAAAAAGGCAATACATATAACTAATCAATCTGGGTATATTTGTTTAAGTATTATTGTTTGTTTTAATAAACTATGTTTATTTAATTTTTGTACATATATTTTTTTCCTTTTTTTTCTTGGAATCCGATAATTAAATAGAACTACATACTATATGCTTTAAAACCAAACTACCAAACGCAAAGTATGTGTCATGACCTCATGACTGAAAAATAGGCCCGGAATTACAATTTTGCCTAGGGCCCGCTTTAGTTCGCCACTGAGCGAATGTAATCAAAATTAATTTTTTCTTATTGGGGGCTAGACTTCCAGTCGGCAGATTCGACAACCGCATTCAGCCAGGCAAAAGCTGGGATATAAACCGTTCAAATCCGTCAAACCGTTCTCTAATTATAGTCGATTTAGCTTAATTTTTTTATATTGGGGGCTAGACTTTCGGGCGTTCATATGTGCATAACGGTTCTCTTGTTATAATCAAAATACTGTACATGTAAAATCCTATCTAATTGGGGGCTATCTTCGCATAGGTCTGTTATGTTACTAATTTTGTGCATACAGTTTGATAGGTCATCATTTTATAATGATAGTAAATTTGTTGTTTTGATCAATATAGTATATTGTGTCTCAAGGGCAGAAAATAAGCATTAGCAGCCCGAGGCTATTAGATAGCAGCTAATAGATAAGGGCTGCTAATGCATTTCTGCACGTGTGACACACAACTGTTTTTCGCCTCCCATTAAACCAAACAGAATTGCAAAAATATAAAATAAAACTAATTTTATAAATCAATTAATTTTATTAGTATGTAACAGAATTTAACAAAAACACTAAGAACAACTTACTTATTGTAGTAATTATTATTAATATTAATTATTCCTTCCGCACAGTTATGAATAGTAATACTAGAATTTGGTATCTGGTAAGTGTTTAACGTACTAGTAGTAGCATTATGATTTATTTCTATAGATTCATTTGTTTGCTTTAATATATTCTTGCTGCTGTTCTTGGTTCGTCAAGATTTTTTGGGCAATATTAATTTTATTAGATAAGCAGTCATCAATATAACCTTCTGCAACCGCAGAGGAACGCCAACCTCCATGCTTTTTCAGTGTTACCAAATCAGTTTCAGAGTTAGTTAGCAACGTTGCAGAACTTCGACGAAAGCAATGTCCTGTGTATGTACTAGGTTGAGACAGTTCTAAAAAAGTGGCAATTTTGCTAAATGTATTTTTCCCGATCGGTTGTACTGTGCATTTATTATTCTTGTATGAAATAAATAGACGACTATGATGAGTGTAGGTAGGTCTAAGGGAAACATATTTGTGGTATATTCCAAGTAAATTCAATCCATCAATTATTTTATTTGTGATTGTAAACGTTCTTGTCATATTATTTTTTGTCTCTGGATTATTAATAGATCTCCTCTGTTATCTATTTGATCAAATTTTATATTTAACAACTCGTTTCGACGACAAGCTCCGTATATTCTAGTGATGTTACGGATGTGGGTTTAGCGGATACGGATGCGGAACCAGATTTTTTAATTCAAATTTCGCGGATGCGGGACCGGATTTTTAAATTCTAATTTCTCGCATGCGGATGCGTAAGTGGATGCGGATTTAACGGATGCGGAGTTATTGAAAAAAAGTTACATACTAAAATTTTTATGAAAATAATATTGCTATTGTAATTTCTCTATTTTATACAGGGTGTCACACAAAAAACGCCCCAATCTGTAACTCTGTCATTTACGTTCCGATTTAATGAGCCAGGTATCAAATGAAATGGTTTGATAAATACTATGATTCATGCTACAAATAATTTTTTTCCAACGCCATCTTGAATTTCAAACAAATATGAACTTTTGTTTTTCAAATTGCACCGTATATTTTTCGTCACGCTAGAGATTTTTTTTCTGAATCCAATGATGTACAGTACATCCATTTTGAATGTAATTTGAGCAGAGAAAACACACTCTATATAGAGGTTATCACACAAGAATGCCTCAAGCTGTAATTCAGTCATTTACAATCCGATTTTCACGAGCCAGGTATCAAATGAAATGGATTGATGAATACTATGATTCATGCTACAAATAAATTTTTTCCAAAGCCATCTTTAATTTCAAGCGATGACAACTTTAGGTTTTCAAATTGGTTAATATGTTTTTTTTTACGCTGTTCGCATTCGTAATTTATTACAGGCAAGTTATATTTAAAAAAAAGCAATTTTGATGCCTTTTCATATATTAAGGATGCTCCACTAAATAGCTGTTCACTGGTAAAGCTGCTTGGTGGCGTTGATAAATATTGGCGAACAATCGGCAATAAAACAATATATTTGTACCCATTCTGTCGCCACCACATCAACGGATCTTCTTCTAAAGACAGCCTTCTTTCTTTAACGTAATTTTGGAGCACAAGCTTCAGTGTTGTTAATTGGTCATATTCTGCCTCACTTTCGCTTGAACTTAGAATGGATTGTACTGACTGTAGTAGCATTGAACAACTGCTAGAACTAGTAGCAATTTGATTATCAATTTTTCTTTTCTTATGTATCGCACTACAATCTTTATTTTCATGGATCGTTTGATTTTGACACAAATTAACTATATGGCTTTGACTTCTTCTCTTTCAAAACTGTTAAAAAACTTTGTTTTATATCGCAGATCTAACTACGTAGAAACCGAACATAGCAAATTTTTATTTAAATCGCCAAATCTTTCACTTATTTCTCGTATAACTTTAACGAAAAGTGCTTTGACTTTTTCTGGCGTATTCTGGTTATCTTTCGCAGCTTTTAATGTTGTCAGGATAACGTGCGTAAGTGGTATAACCATAGAAATGCTGTTCTTCGAGTTACTCAATTCTTTAGTAAGTTCTTCGAAAGGTGCCAACAATTTTAACAACAGGTCAACAGTTGACAAATCATCTGGAGAAAATGATACAAATTGTTTTGTAGATAAGTATAAAAGTAAAGAATCCTTTATTTTAACAAAACGCTCCAACATGTAAAATGTGCTGTTCCACCTGAAATTAAAATTAGTTACACAATATCTGATTTATACACAATCGTTGGCTTACCTAGTGGGACAATCTTGAATTGTTGACAATGGAAATTGCTTCATACTTATTTCCTGTATAGCTTTTAGTTCATCTTGTGCTACTAGGGAATGACTAAAATGTGTTGAAACTTTTTTCAACCTTTTTTACCACACAGTGAACAGCATCGTGTTTTATACCCCATTCTTCAAGGATGGATTCAATTTTTGTCGAAATAACTTGACCCGTGTGACGTCCTTCCATTATTTCACATTTCAAAATAATTCTTACTCTTTCAAAATCTTCGTTTACACCATGAGCAGTCAAACCAAACTAATGAAGTAACTAAGAAGCGACGTAAAAAACTGACGGCCCCTCAATTTATATCGTGGAAGTATTGTATTGATCAATCGCCGAAAACCAACTCCTTCAACGAAGTTGAATGGCAAGTCTTCCAAAGCAATCATTTCGCCTATTAGTCGATCCGTCTCTTTGGATTTTGGATATGATAAATCCCAACATACATTCTTCGTTAAATATTCTTGTAAAGAAAGTTGTTTTGTATTTGAACCTGTGTCTGTAGATGTACTACAGGCTGGCTGGCCCTGTTCGGCATTTTCAGCTATACGTTTTTCTAACTCTTCAAACATTTTCGTGTGCTTCGACTTCAAATGATTTTTTAAAGATGTGATACGTCCTTTTCGTGAATAATCCTTTTCGCAAATATTCCCAAATTAAGCTTGTTTTTGGTTTCATTTTAATTCATTTTATTACCAAATACAGCAAACAATAAAACAAATGACGAACAATGCATAAAACGAACCATAACAGTTGCCATCCGTTCAACAACCGATCGGCTTTAAGAATTAAGAACTTTAGTAGAACGACGGGACCATGGCGCGACAATATAAGCGTCGCGTCGTCCGTCGCGACATTGCGCTTATCTCACAAATCTAAAGTGAAAACTGTCACTACTATTTAAAAATTATAATTAAGTTATATGTTTCAAACGATTTAAAAAATTTATTTATTAATGCCGAACGCTGGCCTGACCGGAGCTCCGTTAAAATATATGCGGATGCGGATCCTCAAAACAATGCGGATGCGGATATCTGTTACATCACTAGTATATGTATTCCCATTATGAGAGAAACCTACAATGAAATCAATAAAAATCAAAATTAATTTATTTTAATCTATGTACCCACCTTCATCATAAGATAATGTGAATCATCTGCGTCTTTCAAAAATTGAATGCATTGTTGTTGATTTAAAGTATTAGACTTGTTGGGCTGGTAATTTATAGAATTTTGCTTCAAAAATGATCGAACTTTATGAAAGGTGTCAAAATTAATATTTTCCTTGACTTTGAAACTGCTTTTTAACATAGAGAATTCAGACCATAATGTAGCTGCATTTACCGTCTTTGACCTTTCCAATAAATAAGCAAGTAATACATTTTCCGTTAAGTTTTTGGCTTTTTTAATTTTCCTCCAGGTATTAAATAATTCGTAGCACTTTGTGTAACGTTCTCTTGATTTTCTAGGTAACAAATCATTGGAAATATTCTTAGCTTGTTCGTGCAACTCTGGTGGAGTATTTGTGAATAATTCTTCGTTCATTTTGATTTCAACTGACGTTTAATGAAAAATTATGAGAAACGTCAAAAATGTCCGCAAATGTCAATGAAGACTAACTATATTGTGATGAAAAACTATAAGGTAGGGACGTTCAGAGTTTAGAATCCCAAGAGCCGAAAATCTAGCTTTCAGTTATTTTTTTAGGGCTGATATGATTTACTTTCAGGTATGGGAGGCGAAAAACATTTTATGCTGGACATCTGTGCCTACATCATCGTCCCAAATATGAGTCGTTAGTCTTTTGGAGAAAACCTAATGGCTCAAATATGACCCGAGTGGTAGTGAATGTGTTAAGCAATTTAGAAGTTTTCTTTTTTTAATCGGTAAAAATAATACAGAATGTATTTCTGAAGATTAAATTTTATTTAAAAAATTTTTGTTTAATAAATTTCTATTTATTATGTTACAGAGAAGATTCTTAGAGGTTGAGAGGGAAATAGAAGTGACATGCCTCCAAGTTTTCTTCAAGAATTGAATTCTCTTTTAAAGGTAAATACTTGTTAATTGATTTAATGCGTTTTTGTGAAATTTTCAATACATGTTTTTTAATTCGTAGCGAACAACCTGAAGACGATTATAGAATAATCGAAACCGGTCGTTGAGAACAAAAATTTTTTAAATAAAATTTAATCTTCAGAAATACATTCTGTATTATTTTCACCGATTACTATAATTCACCTGAAGACAATGGAGAAATTCATTAATTTCTTTTTTTAACTTGTACAGTTTTTGTAGGGAAATTATATATTAATAAAGATATTATATCAACACCTTGTTGAAGTTTTCTTTTAAATCCTATTGTTATTCAATACTGTATTTGTTGTCGATGGGTCTGATTATATTTTGAACAACAAAATGGCTTCCACGCCTACCTTAAAAATTGACTTTAGAGGTCAAAATAAATAACTTTTTTTAATAATTCTTCAATTTTGAGTATTCACATAGAATATAATAGATTTTAGGTCTATAGATAAACCAAAATAGAATTACATACTTTTATTTAGATAATTAGATGTTGATATTGAACTCATATACAACAAATACATTGAAAAAAAATAAGAAATCAAACCTTACACATTACAAGTTACAATTATTATGACTTAACTTAATCTACTTTTTTTTTTTTAGATTCAAGCAGCGAAATTAACACAAAACTTAAATCTTACTACAAACTATTAACGTCGAGTTGGGGACCTCGACCGAAACCTTCCATTGGATTCGTATCTTCCTCCACCGCCACCGCCACCACGGCCTCTATACCCATCTCTGGAACCCCTTCTGTAGCCGCCGCCGCCATCGCCACCACCTGGTCTGCTGTACTCCCTGCGGTAGCGGTCATCTCTTCTTTCCCCGAAGTCGTGATATCGGCCCCTGGAACCTCCACGGCCGCCACCTCCTCCGCGTCCGCCCCTAAAACCCCCCGATCTATCGTAGCTCCGGAATCCGCCGCCGCCTCCTCGACCTCCTCTGGAACCCCGGAAGCCTCCGCCTCCTCTTCGACTTTTCCCTCGGGCGATTTCGACTCGGAGCTTAGAACCAAGAAAATCGGTCCCATTTAAATTGTCGCAGGCATTTTCGGCGTCGTCGTGATTCAAGAATTCGATGAATGCGAATCCTGGAGGGTTGAAAGCCACCCAAACGTTATTCAACTTGCCGAACTTCTCAAATTCCAATTCCAGGTCTTCTTTTTTAACGCCGTCGCTGAGACCACCGACGTAAACCCTCGTGGCCCCCTTATCCTCCCTGTCCGACATGTAGATCGCTGTTCTGTGGAACGTAGAATGATTTGCAAGCTGGGTCGTTTACAGGTTAGGTGGTAGGTGGGTATTTTTTGTAAGATTTTTGAATATTGTGATATAATTTTTGATGGTTATCAGTCGTTTGGGCGAATTCGTAAATTTTAAGCGTATTATCCCGAATCGAAATTGAATCCATAACGTTAAATGATATTTTTTTTGTCAAGATACTTAACTGAATTAGTGCAGGACGCGTTTGTAAATTGCTTTTTGTATATATAGATATAATTTCGTACGTAAATTCGTATTTTTAAACGGCTATTAGCGAGGTTAGGTTAGGTGTGACTGAGATTGACGATATTCGCTCCTGAAACGGCGATTTTTGTACACAAACTATTGTAATTTGAACGAACGAATCAACGACGATTGCGAAGCTCTCTGTCTAGGTTTTTTTACAAGTAGTTACCCAAAATCGAAGCGTAGATCGACGGTGAATTATGCGTGCTATTTTTTCTAACCCACAAGTTCGTTTAACGACGCCGAAGATTGTTTCAAAATGGCAGATGGCTACCTCGATCAATTCTCAACTACCGGTGGCGTTGGACGCGCATGCGTATAAACAGTTTCGATTGATCGCATTTTTTAATTTACTAATTTTTCATTTTTATACTAAATTATTTTTCAATTTTACTTAAACTTTATAATTTTAATATGTTTAGTCTCATTTTAAATAAATTTTACATTTATAATTATAAACATACTAAAAAATTAAATTAAAATTTAACATCAAAAACGCGTCCTTCCAACCATTTTTAGCTCTTCCGTTTTTATAATCAATACCTTTGAGCGGGAATTTTAAAAATTTTATTTGTTTCTTCGTTGATAAAATTTATTAAAACATTATAATTTTTCTAATAAAACGGTTTATTGTGATATGTAAATTTCTGGTCCGAATGTTTTTAGTTCTAGATGTCGAATCTGGTTTGAAATACGTCTTTTGATTAGAATTTAATTCAATTAGGGGAAAGTAGTAAACTGTATTCGTTATTTTTAAAAGAACGTTTTAAGATAAATTTGAAATTACATTTTCATTTCTCTGTTGTTTATTGGGTTATTGGGAGACTTATCCTGAATAGTTTTGTGTTTGTATTAATTTTATTAATAACTTTAGTTATTAATTTCTGCATTATGTAATATAAGTTATACAGAGTGTTTCTATAAGTCGTTTCATAATTTTAATCACAAATGCTAGCATTAAAAAATGTAAAACTATTATGATGAACATTTATTGATAAATTTCGGCGCTACAAATTGTTTCGACTCAACAAATGAGTCGTCTTCAGGCACGACTGTAATAGTATATTAAAAAACAAGTTTCGTAAGACACACCAAGGATGGAATTTAGCCCTATCTACCAACCTTGAAAATTAACTTTGGTGGATTATTTATTAGAATAATTTTCATGGGGTATTCCTGTGGGGTCAACCGAGGGAAACTATTCAACGTTTTATAAAATTGAAAAGTAATAAAGAAAATCACGTTTAGTGACAAACTTAAAAGTGATATTTCTCCAAATTGAAACATTAATTATAAATTTGGGTGAATGGTTTCCCTTCGTATACAATATAAATAAATTGTATTTAAGACGAATTCATCAAAGTTTGAGTTTTGACCATTTTGACGCAAATCTAGGGATTTAGTGTAGTCAAGTTGATTTTAAAAGTTCATCGGTCTCTACTAGATGGCGCCACAAAAAAAATTATTATTTCAAAAGTTATGCGTTAACTCTCTATTTTTTGAATAAATAATGGTTTCGTGTTGTCTATATCAATTACGAAATATGCATAATCTCTATTGCAAATATTGAGTTGGCCTTGGATGTCTAATTTATTGCTAGTTTAAGTAGCATCATGGAAATCAAACATGCATCATAGACAGTAATGCTAAAGTTTAGAAGCAGCTGAAGACCCTTTAAGATCTCCCTCGACTCGTATATCATTAGTTATTATACTGCAGCACGTATGCTAGATCTGCAATACGATAACCATTTATTGCTTCTGGTTGTTCAGTGTGATCCCCCTCTTTGTCCAGTGCATGATTCATAGTACTATAGAATAATTCATAAAAAAAATAGTTTCTAGCAATGCAAAAAAAAATAATTAAACATACTTGTTCATGTGAATCAATAAATGGAAAAAGAAGTCATACTCATCTTCCACTGGTCGGGGAAATACAGCACTAGATAAAAAATATTTACAGAAAATCACAAGTGTTTTAATGTTAACATAACATTCGATATGTATCATTTAGCTACTAAATCATGGTCGTATTTTGTATTATATTTAATTATAGCAAGCCATATCCATCTTGATACATGTCACGCGGCAACATATGTTATTTACTGGCTGCATATTTCTCAATTTGAATTGGTTGTGTAAGAAAAGTCAATTTAAGGTCACAGATAATAGTATAATAATAATACTATTATAATAGTATTATTATTATTATTAATATTATTATTATTATTAATATTATTATTATTATTATAATAATAGTTGTAATCTGAGTGGGTAACATCCATTATGCGCAAGTTGAATACTATACTTTATCTACAACTATTTAATTTAAAAAAAGGAAAAAAAAAACTTGATAGACATTTCAGACATAACCTCAATATAAGAAAGTTGTCATTTCTGTTAATATTTTATTTTTTTGATTAGTAGGCCGTGTCAGAACTGTGGAATAATGGCTTCATTATTCAACACTTTGTCAGTCATGAGTAATGGGTGTCATTACCCGTCAAAAATCAAATGTATAACGAATAGATAATTCAATAGTTGTAGATAATAGTATATTAAACAACAAGCGTATAATGGCGGCTGTTACCCAAGAAGATGTAGTTGTAATCTGAGTGGGTAACATCCATTATACGCAAGTTGAATACTATACTTTATCTACAACTATTTAATTTTGAAAAAAAAATCAAAAAAACGAAAAAAAAATAAACTTGATAGACATTTCAGACATAACCTCAATATAAGAAAGCTGTCATTTCTGTTAATATTTTATTTTTTGATTAGTAGGCAGTGTCAGAAGTGTGGAATAATGGCTTCATTATTCAACACTTTGTCAG